TTTTTTTTTCTCAACAGTTCATGTAACATACACAAAAAAATTAATTAGATGTATTTTTTTTCGATGTTCTGAACTTAGCATTATTTTACTGTATAGTAAATGCACACAATTTTTTTTAACCAAAAAGCTCATTTCGTACATTTTCCTCGACATGGTTCTTAGCGTTCTTGTTTTCTTTTCCAGGTGCGACGGGCACTGGACGGGAAACAAACGAAGCACGGAATCCAACGAACAACACCAGGAAGCTATGTACAAACACCCTATTAGCATAGGCAGACAAACCAGTAGGCATAAGACCAAGCCGCTCGGAAGATTTTTTTCACCCGAAAGGGAACCATCGAGTTTTTTTACTTCCGGCTGGTTCTGTCTTAGGGTCCTCACGACCCCACTAGGGGGGAGTGAGCTGTAGCGGTAAATAATTCCCCAAAATTATTGACCACAGCAATCACTCATTGGATGCTGACCACCACTGTTTAAGTCGACTTGTTTAGCTGAAGGCTTCCGGTCAAGCATCCCCGCCATTTGGTACCTCGTCGTGTCACGTGCACGATCACTAGCTAGCTAAGCGTTCGTCTAACGGCTGGTTTTGGTTCCTAAATATATATCTTGGTTTGGACGATCAATTATTGGCTTTTGCTTTGTCTTTGGTACGCGAGAATAAATTAATTAGAAGTTGTTGAACGAGATATCACGTCAACCTTTAAAGAGCGATTCACCTTAGTGACCCCCACCATATCTACTGATCAGCATGAGTCTTGGGTTGGAATTCGGTTCCACTGTGTAGCGGACGTCATCAGTTAGACGAAGTAAACCCCACCTACCGCAGATGCTCCTCGTAGCTGCTGGCAGGTCCCGTAATTCTTTGGCTATCGGCTTATTGTTGCCGTGCTGTTGCCGTAAATAAATAGGTTGTACCTCTGTGTCTGCCGCCTGTAGAGAGGCCTAGTCAATATCCGCTGTACCACCATATAATACATTTACTGTGGTTTCACAGTTTGGCAGGCGTCAGAGGGCGTCGGCGTTACCATGTCGTTTTCCGGGCCGGTATTTACAAGTGAAATCAATCTCCTGTAAACGTTCTTGCCAGCAGGTAAGTTGGCCTTCGGCATCACGAAACTTCTGCAGTCACTGTAACGCCTTGTGATCAGTTCGGACCCGAAATTTGCGCCCCAGCAAGTAATGGTGGAAGTAAGTGAGAAAGTGTACAACTGCTAACATCTCACTGCGCGTCGTAGAATACCGTGTCTCTCTTTTGTCCAGCATCCGGCTGGCATATGCTATCACTCGTACTTGTCCGCCAGAGGCTGTCTGTGAAAGGGCGGCTACTATCACGTATGCACTGGCGTCAGTATCCAGGATAAAGGGGCCGCTGTCCAGCGACGTATTTGGGAATTCTAAAACAAGGAGAAGTCAAACATGCTTTAAGCGTATTAAATGCTACCTGGAACTCGTTATATTAAGCGAATCTCCGTCCCTTTTCAGTTAATCGATGAAGGGGGGCTGCTATATTGGCGAAATTTTGAACGAAACGACGGTAGTGAGATGCAAGCCTCATGAAACTACGGACGTCCGTGGTGGACTTAGGAGTAGGCCAGTTGAGGATTGTTTGTACCTTGCTTCTATCTGTACTCACTCCTTGTAGAGTAATCTCATGACCAAGGAAAGTAACAGATTTCTGCAGCGAATGGCATTTTGATGCTTTCAGCTTAACTCCTGCGTAGACGTTGAAATACGACTCGGAGGTTGGCATGGTGTTCTTCAAGGAACTGCCCGAACACAATGATGTCGACCAGGCAAATTAGGCATTGTTTAGAAACTAACCCTGCAAGTACTGTTTGCTTGAGTCGTTGAAACGTAGAAGAGGCATAAGACAAGCCAAATGGCAAGGTTTCTAATTCGTATAACCCATAGGCACAACAAATGCAGTTTTTGGTTGATCTTTCCGACGAATTTCGACTTGCCAATAACCGGAAGCTAGGTCCAATGTAGAAAACCACTGTGCCCGCCCAAAGCATCTAAAGTAGCGTCCATGGAGGTAGTGGGAAGGAATCTGGTTGAATGATTGCGTTTAGACGGCGGTAATCAACGCAAAGATGCTGGGAGCCACCTTACTTCTTCACGAGTACGACAGATGCCCACGGGGACGTAGAAGGTTTAATTACTTTCTTTCGTAGAATATATTTTTTCATTGTGTCCAACTGTTGTTGGTAATGAATGGGAATCCTAATTGGCAAGTTATCCCCGTCTTAATCTCGTGTTGTACAATACTATTGCACCCCATCACGTGGCCATCATCGAACACGTCACCGTATTCTTGTAGCAAGGTCAGAGTGTCGGTACAGTCATGCAAGCTGAGGTGCGGCTTAGTATGGATGTTCACTGTAGTCGCCTGGGGTAAAGCACAAGCATTAGCACTCTAACTGTGACTAACTCAGCGACTGAGTGAGAGGTTATGTGCCCTCAGTCGGATTTGAGAACATCCTACAGGCCGCGTGTGACCGGCCTCAAGCAGTTGTCCCCTGGGCTCTGCGGTCACTCAACCAACTTCCACGGTATGGGCAGCTGGGAATTAACAATCGCCCTCACAATCCGAAATGCACACGAAACCTCTCTAATCCTCATTCATCTTTGTCTCCATCTTCATCTCTATCATCTTGCCTTCCTTCCACTGATGCAACTCCTCTGCTTGATAACTCTTCATTCCCTCTTCACTGTGTCTACTAAAAACGACGGAAGCCAAAAATCCACCACCGACAGTCTCCTAAAGCCACGCCACCAATTTCATATAGGAGCATTTAATGTCAAGACACTTAGCCAAATAGGATAACAAGCATCACTAGCCAAGACTCTGGCGTCCCGAGCCATTGATGTATGTTGTGTTTCAGAAACACGCATACAATACCCAAATGTGATTATTCACCTAACCTTACCTGGCCAACAGGATGAATCTGCAAAATTCACCTTGAGGGTGTCGAGAGATGCCACAGCTAGTTCACGAGGATTAGCAGGTGTAGGGATAGCTTCGAATACTAGGGCATAAAAGACATTACTTGACTGAATCCCGATAGATAGATGAATGTGTGCTGTCCGTCTGAACGGATCAGTAAAAAGGAGAAAGGACTGCACTACTCGCTGACGCCTTTTCGTAATCTCCGCCTACGCCCCCATTGACTGCAGTTTGGGTGAAACGAAGGATAAGTTCTACCAAATCGAGCGCAGATAACTTCATCAAGGTTCCCATTAGGCAGGTTAGGGAATGCATGAGACGCAATCTGGAGAAGCTGATGGAAGTAGCTGGTAGCCGTTTCACCCGGTTATTGACATCGGCTTAAGAATGTGTGCATGGAAGCGGAGGTGCTAAAAGTTTTTGCGAAACATTCCTCTAAAGTGTGCCAATTGTAGGTAAGCGGTTTGGATGCGGAAAATCCACCAGCGATTGCACGCTGTAACGCGGCGTCATTCATTGCTAGCATGACGTGATTGTATTGGCCTTGTGGGGACAGACCTGAAAGCAGAGGCTCCATCCGAAATTTCCACAGCTATTAATAGCTACTGATGTTCAACGGTGGTACTCGAGCAGGTAAGGTGTGTTCTGCGGATGGAAGGTGTGTGTTGGTTTTCAGGCTGGAGATTATATCAGGAAGTTCTTATGAGCCTGGTTTCATGTTGAAACTGGATTTAGGAAACCTCCAAAACGAACTTGTAACAGGGAAACAAGCAGGTGCACAGGTTATGAAAATAGAACACGACTTCTTTACGACAGCGTTTATTCCGCGAAAATGACTTTTAAAAAGTGCGGAGTTACAGTACTAGGGTATAACAATTTTACTGAGCAACATTTTATGTTTTGGCTCTGCAACTCATGTATCTCCTGGTCCAAAGAGTTTAATTCCACGTGTCTTCCAGCAAGTAGAGAATATAAAACATTGATAAGTGTTATAATATGGGTTTTGGTCGGATTACAAAATCGCTGGGTAACGCCCGCCCTAAAAGCGAATATTCCTAGTCCAATGTGCAACGGCGATTTTCAAGCAGCAAATTACTAAGATCAGTCGATTTCCCCCGTCAAATGTTTGTTTTTCATCAATTACCATGAGCATTTGTGTCAGTTATTCTTTATAATATTACTGTCATCTACACCGAATACTTCTCAGAGCTAGAAATTTGCAGATGACATATGAAAAAAACAGACTGTATTTTTTTTATTACAGCTTGATTCCACACTGTATTTTTGGTACAAGTATGGAATTTTCAGCATGGATATCGGTAGCACAAATTTTGCAGGCCGACCATAGATATCAGGTGTGCGCCGACAGAGGATCGAACCTCGGACCATGTGCATGGTCGACGAGAGTCCTAACCACTGTGCCACCGACGCACATGATAGTAGTATATATGAGGTTTCTAGCCTCGGCACTATTTAGTATATTAGAATCTGGATAGATGCGGGTCTGCGTTGATTCAACTAAAATTGGTTTACTACTATGATCTCACATTCATTCCATAGTCCTACCTAAACGGAATAGCGTAGCAAGTACAATGCTTCAAGGCACTAATGTGATTCTCTAACTGCTAGGAAGTTTACTCCGACTTTTCATTGTGATGTTTCGTATGTCTCCAGTAACGTTTCTTCTGTGTTATGCACGGTAAACTATTTTTACAACCATTTGTTCTTCTGGTAGTCTCTTGCTATTCATATCTAGTTTTCTTTACAACTTAAAATTAGGCCGAATATATCCTCGGATTTTTTTTACTGTTTTGTGACATGAAGAGCTTGCATGCTTAATTCATGACTTTTAGCACACCATCATGTTTAAGGGTATCTTCCAGTGCTCTCTAATCCTAAATAACAAATGAGTGAAAACACTAGTGGAAACCAGTGGATATTCAGGATCAAATCATGTCGACGAAATACTGAAAATATTTAAAATATTTTCCCGAGTGAACATCCAAGATTAGGCTGACAGTAACATTATAAACAATAAGCGACTCAAACGCTCATGGTAATTGATGAAAACAAACATTTTAACGAGTGAAACTGACTGATATTAGTAATTTGCTGCTTGAAAATCGCTGTTGTACATTGGACTAGGAATATACGCTTTTAAGTCAGGCGTTACCTAGCGATTTCCCTATATGTATTTCTTGGTTTTACGTATTATTCCGCGTTGTTGAACGAACGTATGGACAGCGAAATATTTTAGAAGGTAAAAAAATTATTTTAACAGATTCGTATCTAGTTAACGTGCGCATGCAGTGAATCAAATGTAAATTTACTTCAGAGTTACATTTACGGTATCACAATCGTTTAGCTTATTTGATCGCAATTGACTGCATTCCCAGCAGATGCTTCTCTCTAATAAATTTGGAGTGGAAGCTTAGATTTACATGGAAGTACTAGTGCTTGCTCGGTCAAATTCTCCTCAAATGATCAATTGGTCATTAACTGGTCGAATTATGTTTTCACTATAAGCCCAGAATTTAACGTTTTGAGGATTTTCTTAGAAAAGAACTCTTACAATTTTCACTGGCGCTACGAACCCGTATTTTCGCGTTTACGTGGTAAAAGTCTTTTGTAGTCATATATATATATATGTATATATGATTCAGTAGCTGCTATAATAGCAGTTTGTGGTCAAATTAAACTTTAAGCACCACCTACCGCCAATGGAGTGCGGCTGCACTAATAACCTGAAACTGGTTATTGAGCTAGTTAGACAAACCTGACAAATAATGTTGTCATCACCAATAAAATATGCTCATCGAAGTGTTATGCTTTCCAGTAGGATTTCTAGGAAGTTTCACCTCAGCTTTGGGAAAGATTAAGTTTTAGGCTAATGACAAGTCACGGTTAGGTTAATCTATTAAAGGCAACATTAGCGTTAGTTCAAGTTAGATTAGGGTTAGTTTAGGCATATTTTCACGTTAGTGCTAGGTTTTGGAAAGATTAGGGTTAGAAGACCTAAATAATTATGTACATAGAATGTGGTTAAATTACTATATCGATATAAGAATAGAACTTGTGCACTGTGGTAAAGTATAATTTTACTGTGGGTTAAATCTATTTGGATAAATTCCACAATATTATACAGTAGCATTTACTGATGACGTTTCAAGTACAGTTCATTGACCAGCAAATATTACTGTATAACACTGTGAGACTTCGCCCACAATGGGGTTATACTCTGTTGATACTCAAACCTAAAACTTAGATCTGTTTTTATCAGATGTGAAAGATATCCTCTGTAACACTTTTAAACATCTTATTCATAAATATGTGTATTCCATACACAAAAATGCCTCCTTTACGTGGTTGGTGTGTTTGAGGTCATTCACTGATTGGCAGTTGATGGTGCACAAAGTTTAACTTTGCCGGAAACCTTCTGCTTGCGTTCTAGAAGGTAGTCCAATGGAATAGATGCCGTCTGGCAAGTTTGAATGAAAACATATCATCTATTCAATTAGATGTAATCTATGGATTATTGTTACAGTCAATTGATAAAAGTTCTCAGCTGTTAATCCAAGAATTCGTTTCTTTCAAGCACTTTGAACTTGTCTTTTATTTCTGTCTGTCTATAATATAACCCTTGCAAATACCATAGTTCATTTACGTTACTTTGTCGTACAGTCTATCAGATTACATGCCAATTTCGCCGTAAACGAATTGCGGGATGTACAGAAAAGCCGGCATTGCATCAATTAAGAGCAAATCACTTACTCACTCTAAATATAAGGAAAAAGGTGATGAGTTAGCTGGGAATCAAATTACAAATTTGTCGCGTCAATTTCAACAAGTTCGTCAGTCTCTTGAGTTATTTGCCAGTAAACACAGGAGCAAAATTAAAGATGATCCTCGATTACGTTCACAATTCCAAGCAATGTGCAGTAGTATTGGTGTTGACCCTCTAGCATACAGTCATGGATGTTGGTCGGAGACGCTTGGATTGGGAGAATTTTACTATCACTTGGGAGTTAAAATTATTGAGGTAAGTTGACCCGCGATCGTTGTTTTTAAATTAACTGAATACCAGACTATAGTGAACTAAACTCCCGACGTAGAGATTTTCACACACAGTCATCACATTCCTGTAGTCACATTTAATAAAAGCAACTAATGCAAATAAAATAAGTGCGGAGCTTCGATCGTAGAATAATTAGATAAGGTATCACAGCGATTTTCAGGGTTTCGGGGAACTCAAGAAGTGAATGCATTTGCACCATTGTGAATGACTTTTAGACATATCTTCGACAGCTTCCAAAAATCAACTTTTTATATTATGTGAAGCCTTACAATGCTCCCCAATAGTCAAGTACTTCGTAGACGGGTACCATGTTTCGTTCTGACCACTCCTGACTCTTTTCAGCCTAGTCCTCTGCTAGGTGACAATGCTCGACAAAGATAGGTTGGCATGAGTAACACTAAACATCTCGGTCGGTAATGATTCACAACGCCATCGATTGACTTTCCCTTCTTAACCTACCAGTCTACAATTAACCTGATTATTACTGACCATATTGTGTCACAAAATGGGGAATTGAGTGTTGAGAATTATGGTAAGTAACAGCTGATACCTTCGTTCTCTCAGATGTCATGTCTAGTAGTCGTAAAAAAGGGTGGAGCAAACTGTCACACAGTGCATGTGTTTTAGTGAATAGCCAGATATGCTTGTGACGAAGATGACAAGTGCCAAACAAGGGATTTGTATCATTACTGATTTTTTGTCAGCAAAAATTACATTAGGGTTGGTGTGACTCATTCCTTATTCTCTCCTGGCACTGTTCTGCAATCACATACCTTGACAGCACAAATGTCACCCGAGATTAAAACATTTCAGGATTTAGATGCCGATAGATATGTCTGTGTTACAAAGTCGGTCAAAGGGTGTAGATATAATGAATATATCCGTTCGGGCCTAAAGTCCACCTGGCTTTGTCGCCTTTGTTTTTCTCCAACAAATTCAATTGGCACTCCAAGTATCATGCTCAACGTTCCCTCCATCCTTTCTGTGTAGTTCCGTTGTTCTCGGGGATTGTTTGACATGTAATAGGTTTTCCACAATCTATTTTCGTAATGAGACGAAATAATTGACGGGCATTACCTTTTCTAATGGCCTTTTTGTTTCTTCCCCTTTTGTTGCCCACCACTGATCAGCGTCGTTCTTGAGACCTTTTACTGTCCTCCGTCCGATAACATTTTACTCGTTGTGTTTCGAGTCCTCTGCCATCACTTTCTTTGTGGCTGTCAGTTCGGATAAAGCTTCAGAAGTATACTGGTGTTCATCAACAGCGTTTACAACTGTTTTTATCGCTGACTGGATATGGTATCTGTTGTCTTCAGGATGAGTATTGTTATCATTCTCAAATACTATAGAATGCTGAGGATGTATTATTTCGGTAGTATTGTGATGTTAGCAGGATATTTCTGCTCTAACTTTTCATACATGCATATTACCTTTCTTTTTGTGAATTTGTAATGCTTTTTTCCAAGCATTTTTACCTCACTTCTAATTGATTTAACCTCGCCTAATTTACTAGCTCCCTAGATTTCTAACCGGTCTCAAGTTCGAGAAAAGAGGGAAGGTTGACCGTGTGCTAGCTAAGCTTCCCAGAAAACTAACCAAACTGCTACAGAAACCTCAACTCACAAGAAAAATATTAAAAATACAAATTATATGAAGAATGGACTTATTCTTCTCAGAATTCAGAGAGGCGAAGTAAGGCCCGTTGATGAAATCTCTCGGTAAGCCAGTCAGCTGATGTATCTTCTCTCAATGAAAGCAAGAATAAAAATCGAGACGTGGAATTTACTCACAATTTACGAGACAGGGAAGGCTGTACAGGTAGCCAACGAAACGAGAAGGTATGGCATAGAAGTGCTGGGTATCTGCGAGAGCAGATAGAATGGATGTGGACTTATGATCTTCAATGAAACTGTTTTGTATTTCTTTATTACTCCTTTGTCTCACACCTCTGCTCACTGTTTCTATTATGCTTTTCTTGTACTTTCTTCTCTTGCTTCGCGTGCTACACGGAATGTGGCGACTTGAACTTCCGCACATTTGTGCAAAGTTCTATGTCGAAAACAGACAGACAGACAGATGTGGACAGTCAAAACTGTCAACTGAAGAGTCAGTAATCTACTCCGGTGTGGCCACCCAGACGACAACCACACACTGAAAGAGTAGCTATAATTATGTCGCCAGCTGTAGCCAAAGCCCTAATGCAGTGGGAACCAACTTTGTCTGTCTGTCTGTTTTCGACATAGAACTTTGCACAAATGTGCGGAAGTTCAAGTCGCCACACTCCGTGTAGCACGCGAAGCAAGAGAAGAAAGTACAAGAAAAGCATAATAGAAACTGTGAGCAGAGGGGTGAGACAAAGGAGTGATAACGAAGAACAAAACAGTTTCATTGGAGATCATAAGTCACAAGGAGTGGATGCATCTGCGCCACTGCGCCAACTTTGTCCTGCAGGATCATGGCAGAAAGACTCAACTCAATAGGAAAGAAGGTCACAATTATCCAATGCTACACACAGTGCTACAAACAACGCGGAACATGGGAAGAAGGAAGATTTTTATCGATAGCTATAGACAATAACTGACAACATATCAAATGGAGATATCAAAATCCCTATGGGCGATATGAATGTCAAACTGTGTGCAGACAATACAGACTGATAATGTATTATGGGTCGAGAGGATCTGGTGCGGAGAAATGTATGCTTACTGAGAATCGTTCGCAGTTCTCTGTGTTTCTAATGATTTGATGTTCGGAGGCAGCGTGTACAAGCACGAGGACATACACAAGGCTAGCAACATGGATTTTACCTGACGGACGAACCACGTACCAGATAAAACTCAATGCTGCTCAGGGAATTGGGGACGCAGCCTATTGTTCACAAAGTGAAGAAGCGGAACAGATGTGCAGAGACCTCAGAAAATTATATCAGATAACCAGGTCTCCATTCCGAACGAAATCAACACAGATGAAATCTATAAATCTATATAGTCAAGAGGAACTAATTTTTAGAGATGAGGCAAAGCAAACATTGAGCTGATCGCCTCAAAGGACTCGTGAGTCAGCTATCGCCTGTCACGCTTACAGAAGTATCACCAACAGATCGCACAGAACTGACTGTCAGTGGACACGAATCCCGTGAAGTCTTGGATGGAGTCAAGGTATTAAGGGCCGGGAAGGCAGCAGGACTGGATGAAACTCCTCCGGAAGCACTGGAAATGGATACAGAGGCTGCAGCGGGCACTCTGACACCGCTTTTGCCGAAAATGTGATGAAGAGGAAAGGTACCCGTAGATTAGAAGAATGGTCAAGTTGTCATACTACCAAAGGATGATGACAGTGGTCTATGCAAGAACCGGTGCAGAATCATGTTCTCGTCTACACCAAGCGAAATATTGAGTCGAGTCATTCTGGGGAGAATAGAAGATATATCGGATGCAGAACTCCACCAGCACGGAACAAGCTGAATTCAGGGAAGGCAAATCATGTGCTGATCAAATTGCAACCCTACGCATCGTCATCACAGAACAAAGCATAGAATAGTATTCAAACTCCTACCTTGACTTCATCGACTTCGGAAAGGCCTTCGTCAGCGTTGGTCGCTAAGTAATTTGGAGACTGCTTCAACACTATGGTGTGCAGTGTCCAAATCTCCATCAACCTCATTCAACAGCTACATGACAATGCCACGTGTCAGGTGGTCCACAAGGGGAAACTTAGCGAAGCCTTTGAAGAGTAAGACAGGACTGCCAACTGTCAGGAATGCTATTCGTGATTGTGGTTGGTTGGATTATGCGGCAGACCGTGTGTGGGTGGCGAGAAGACAGTAATACGTCGGGTGATAAGAAGACTCTATAAGATCTGTATTTCTCAGATGACTTTCAGGCGAAAGCCTACAAACTGACTGAAGAAGCAGCGAAGATGAGATTCCAGAAGAACACAGAGAAGACGAAGGTGATGGAAATAACCAACCAACAGAAACAACCACCAGCACCAGTCATCATCATCATCATCAGGAGAGATTCGACAGAGGTAGAGGTTACTTCATTCACTTATCTAGGAAGCCTCGTTTCAATCACAGTGAGTGGAGACGGATGAAGCTGTCAAAGGCACAACGATAAAGCTGTAACTGATGAAAGCAACAGAAAATTCTGGAAAAATCCTAAAATTTTTGCCATTAGCTAAGTAGTTCACTGGGTAATGTGATACAATTCATGTGCAAGCAGTGATTTTACTTGTTTATTTACATTTAGCTAAGGGGTAGAATTTCAGTCTGGGATATTATTTTGTTGCCTTTAAAAATATTTCGTTCCGAATATGTTTTATCAGTTACTATATTCTTTTTGTTTGGAAGGGATCTCTGCTGTTCACCTGCTCGATAATATCGTTTACTGCCTAATGATGTAGCTGAAGGTGTCTTTCCTTTCTGTTTCATGTAAGACTTCTTAAATATCTGTCTTCGATTCCTCACTGGGTGTCATCGTTGTGTTTTTGTGTTTTCAGTCTCCTACCTATGTTTGTGTGTATTTCCTGGTAATTTTTAAAGACTTGTTTGGATTCTGTCAGACAAAACATTCTAGTCTCCTAGTTTTTTGTCCATTTCCCCCTTTATAGCCATCTATTTTCACCACTCATCTAAGTTTGTATCTCAACACATATACCTGTCTCCCAATCGTAATCGGTATTTCAAACATTGTTGTCACAGAATATCGAATTCCAGTCTCTTGTTAATTGTATCCAACTTAATTTCTGCTGATTGCCCGAAATTATTCTCTACAGATTCATATATTCTACAACTAACTACAGGTGATGAAGTGATACGATGATATTATATCCTGCCTGTTCACAGTCTCACTACTCATTTTATAGGACAATGCATATTCTACTTGACTGAGTCTCGATTTATCGGTCTAAATGTATGAGTTTCAACCGGTCACCATCATATTTGAATGCTATTCCAAATACTGCAGTTGAGACGATCAGGTAGTTTCTTAGGTCAATGTACAGCGGGTATATTTCACTGCCATATTGTAGGTATAAGATTATATGGATATGCATCCGAAAAATAAGATTCCATATCTAAATTCAGTTTTTACTTCTGGGTAAATTTGTAGGCTTGCATGGCACATCAAAAGCATACTGGTGGCATCATCCCACTACGCGATTTGGTGTCTTTATTGAACAAAAATAGATCAAAATACGAATCAGAAATCAGCGACGACGATGTAAAGAGGTCGATAAAAAAGCTTCGCTGTCTAGGGACAGGATTCAGCCTAATCAGTTTGCCTGGTGGTCAGTCACTAGTCCAGTCAGTTCCAGGTGAGATGAGTATGGATCAAACTTTGGTGTTGGGTCTTGCAGAAAGTTCTGACAGTCATGTAACAGCGTCGGCTGTGATGAATAAGTGAGTGAAGTTTTCTAGAATTATATATATATATATATATATATATATAAAAGTTGTGGATTTATTAATTGACTATTCGTCATGATGAAATGTGAATCTAGTATTCCTTGGTGGTTAAGACACGTAGTCGTACAGCAACACTTATTTAACAGCCGTTTGAAAATGAACTGTTTCTTATAATCACAGAACTTGTGATATTTGTTTATATAGTCATAAGGCTACCTATTCCATTATTTTAATTGGTCGCAGATCTTCCCCAATTTCTGGGAATGTTGTTGAATCATTCGTATTACATGTACTTGATGTTGATTTGATTAACGGAGATTAAGTAGTCAGTCTTTTCCACGTAAACATATTGAAGTTTTACTGCCACAACCTTGTGTCTTCGTGTAGTACGAATGACTCACTGAGTGCAATGCAATTGATTGAGGTTTGAACTAGGTCACTCGCCTTGCTGAGATGTATCATTCTGTATCTAGAAAAGTAAAGCATCCAGACAATAAAAATTTACTGTTTTAGCTTTCAAAATTTTATTGTTTAATTACTTATTCTCTTCTTTGATATTTTGATACTAATAATTTACTATATTACTGAAGTGAAGTGTCTAGAGAATAGTATATCTCAGCCTGAAGCTGCTAACCTATACCTGATTGAAAACTAAATATGCTTTCGCTCGATGTTTTTTTTCTAAATATTTAAATAACGAGTTTCACTACATTTTGTACATCTATTAATTCCAAATTCACATACACGAGGATCCTTTTCAATGTAGATATAATTTGAGGAAATAAGGCTTCAGATACATCTTTGCATTTCTATTGTATACAGGATTAAACTGAATCTTTAACGTAGAGCTTTACACACAGTAATAAAGGTTTTTAAACACAGTGCATTAGTTCAAGTTAACACTTCTTATAACCACGCATAAGAGTAGACAAAAGAAATGCATTGAGACTACAACAGACAAAAGGGTATGGAATTAGTGGTAATTAAATAAGGAATGGGGAGGACTTTCAAAACTTTCTAGAACAAAAGGAGTGAAGACACTTCTATCCATGTCACTAACTGTCTACAACAGTCGATTCTTAGTATCCTGAGGGGAGCCCTACCATGCAGTCTGTGCCTCCCTACTTAGTTAAAACCAACTGTCTCGGACTTCATTGATTGGTGACACCCCTAACTCCTTTTCGTTTTAATTTTATATCAGCTAATATTGGTCTGTATGTGAAAATCATGTCCTAGCCATCTCGATGGAAGCAGTTTCACAATTTTCCTTCGGCACCTTACACTTAGTCTAGCTTCATAATTACTGACCATATTATACTACGCAACACAAGAAAATGAACTCAGACACTTGCAGTCAAAGGCGATTAGCTTCTTCATATCTTCCACTCTCACTAGTTATGTCTCGCAGCCTTTAAGAGCGGAGCTAATTGCTACAGAATACAATTCCTTTGTGGGATTACCAGATTTGACTCTGACTCAGTGTGTCGGTGGCACAGCGGTAGAGTGCACGCCGGTGGTCCGGGGTTCGGTCCCCGGCCGACGTACCCCTTTGCCTCGCTAGGCCAGTAGTAAGACTGGTAAAGAGGGAAGGTTGGGCATGAGGCTATCAACCCCAACCTGTAAAAACAATCACCACTGCTACAGAAACTTCAAGCAGTCGCTGACTCCCTAGTCTCATTCAAGTGAATGTGCAGTAGTTATTATAGAGCAGTCGTCTCAATGAAAATTGTTGATAATAATGACAGTTGGAAGTTCAACTTCATTAGTGTCAAATTCGTCATTATTTTGAGTAAGATCAAGAGCTGATATCAGTTAGCGAACCATTGGAAACCAGGGTGTGCTGGACCGTTGCTCTAGTCCTAGCAGTACACACTGATGCCCCCACCACGAATCGAACCCATCGTTTTAAAGTTATGGGAAGGGCCCTTCGACCATTCATCCATTGGCATGAAATCCAATGCCCTACGGATTCTGATTTCTACCAATTCGCTATATGTAGTACCGTCACCAGCCAATGTCATGAGTGAGTATTTGTCTTCGCAATGGACTCGCTAAACACGAAAGATACTTATTAACCATGGGTTACATAAATTGACTGTACATACATCTATTTTAGAAGCTGCGCTTATGAGTGCAAATATAATTAATGAAACATATTACAGTGAGTATCAGCGACATATTAAGTACTGTATTTGGTCCATTTTGAGAACATTCTATATTTTTCACAACCGAGACGAACTCTTCCTACTTCTGCCTCTTCTTTCTTATTTTGTTACGGTAATTCTAGATTCTTCTTCCAGAAACTTCACCATTTCAATGTCAGTTCTTTTTACTTCAAAAGCTAAGTCGAAATTCATTTCACATATGCACTGTTGTAACCAGAACTCACATCAATGATACTAGACCCATGTAATGGAGAATACGTGCTTCTTCACATGCCACCACACTTAATATTCAATATATGGTGGTCACAAACTAGACAACGACCTATTATGGATCTTTCCTTTTATGGATTCACTTCACTGTATTTTACAGTTGTAATATGTGGATTATGAACTAGTTATCTGACGCTGAATAGATCCTATTAGATAAATCGTAGACTCTTTAAACTGTACTTTGAGTGATTAGTGAGTTTAACGTTTACGCTGCATGATCTAGTTTCATGATCATCTATTTGTTTCTTAAAATATGTTCATCTATTATTCATCGTTATTGTAGATAGTGATACTTATGAGGTAGTCTTATGTCAGTTTTTATATTGAAGTATCCTTCTATGTTCTGGTAGCTGCAGTTAGCGAACTGACGTCCTTTGAAGCAGTGACCTGTACATCAGGTCATGAAATAATCGTGAAATACAAACACTTCTTGAAATGTCATTCACAATAAATAAATAAATTGAAACAAAATTATTTGTTTCAGGAGTTAAAAGTTATTACCTTTTCAGAAAATTAGCTAAAAGAGTTACTAGCTGGTGAATACTATCCTCTTACTGTATGAATTATTCAACTACTTGTGATTGTAATAGAATAATATAGTACATATTTATAATGCACTATTTGAATATCCTTGTAGTGATGTTTCAGGAAGAATAGTCTTTTCAACATTAATATTACTCTTTGTTTTATTGTTTTAGATATGACTGGACCAAGGATCGTGCAGATGCTGCTTTCCATCATTTAGTGCAAGAAGGCATTGCATGGGTGGATGATTTAGATCCTTGTGGTGAGAGAGTATTTTGGTTCCCCAGTTTGATGGATGCAACTATGACATGTTAAGGGTAGATGAAACTTTGTAACTTTTTTTTTATCTCTCTCTTCCTAATAAAGTAATATTTCCTTAAGCATATTTTGCTTTTACTGATCCAGTATATAGCATTTCAATTTATTACGTAAATTTCTCGAGAAATGTCAGCACTTCTATTGATATGATGATGAAGATAATTTTCTTTAATTTAAGGTCAGAATAACAAAGCACATAATGATGAACATAATTAATAACTCATGTGTATATTTACTCAACCTTGGAAAAGCTGTCGGGGACATGTATGGTTATCGGGCCACGGCATTTCATTAGGCTGAAGAAACCATCAAAATCCGTGTCGCTCAGTACTAACTAGTCACAAATTTAAATGTTTTTCAATTAATTTGACCAACCGCAAAGTTCGTGGAATTCACTGCAATAGCCTCAGCTGGTTATAATTTCATCGTCGTGTAAACTCTAGACTTGCACAACAATAATGGAATCATAATTAAATCATACCTTGTATACACTACTGGCTAAACCTATAATTCATGAAAGATCCCCATTCGAATATTAATAGAGAGAAGACCGGTAGATCAGTGAAGAGTCTTTTTTCGGCGAATTCATTTTTACAGCTGTACAATCGTATATATATATATATATACATATATACGATCGCCATCACGGTGCACGTTGATTTGATAATATTAGGTGGATGAAGGCAGTCAGCAGGAAGCCTTGGACCTAGGTTTCGTGCTAGTTACAATTAGTAAGTTTTTGGTGGAGTTACGCAATACGAAAACCGTTCAGAGGAATTGTGTGTTGATACAAAAGGGTAGTAACAAAAATGATGAGTTGTCACAAACGATTGTTAAAGAAGAGTTGCGTAATGACTTGAATAGTTTGGTGAAAGGGGTGTGCTCAGGGTGCACATGGGAACAAAATAAAATCAGGAATTACGTAAGAGCTTGAAATGAATACAAGAGTTTCAAGTAGTTGGAAAAAACAAGCAAAAGTTAAGTCAAATCAACAGAGTTGTTACCATGATCGTAGAAGTGGCTGAATAAGTTTCTTTTGTATACATAGTTCTGGTTCTTCTAACTAAATGTCTAGAGCTTCTGCAATGCAATGAAGACGGAAACGTATTATCTTTGGTAGGTTGTTCTCCACTTTGTAGATTACTTTAAAGGAGGCTTTTGTTGAGATGGAATGACCAGTGGTGATGAGATGTTCGATTATTGCACTCCTTATAATACGGCCACTACTTCCATTCTGCAGCCACGCTGGTTCCTTTGACCCTTTTTGACAGCATGCGCGTCGAACAGACCGATTTAGCTGGCTCCACAGCAACAGGTAAACTGATATATACACAGAAGTGGTCAGGTGCGAGATCCTGTGCTTTGGGCTTCTGCAGACCAGTGGATGACTGGAGAATACTACTTCAGGGTTGCCAAGAAGAAAGTTCCTCTTAAAGAAGTAGAAATTCTCCTCTTAAGGACATCACTGAGTAGGGCACCTTTGAAGTCGAGGTTCATATAAAGTATCTTTTTTGGCACGGATAGCATCTCTTGCTTTTGGATTTTCTGTTTGATGTTAGACTTATGTATTAGTATTATGTTAGTATTTATATTTCATATAAGTCAATCAAAATGCGACCTCCTTGGTCTAGAAACTGAAAACAAACATTTCAGTGTTTCATTTCATTAAACTCATTAACCAGATAGTTATAAAATTACGAACTATAGTTGTAATAACTGTAAATAGATTTGGATTTGAAACTGTTCCCTAGAATGCTCTAGGGCATGTAGATTTCCATCTCTCCTTCGAATTGCTCTCACATGGCCAAACGTCCATAGCCCATTCTATGTCAATCCTATTAACTGCCTTTATAGGATTGTGAGTTCTATTCCTACAATGAAATGGCGAAAACCCTGAGAGTTCACTTAGGGAAAATGTAATAGCCAGCACCCAAATTTTGCACATCGGCTTCAGGTTCCTAATAGCGCACGAACGTGATTTTGTCAACGGGAACCATGGAAATGTAGTCCCTTACATTTCTCTGCGAATCACAATTTCATTGAAAGAACCGAGAAGTGGTCGTTTAAGACAATTGTTTTTTATCAGTCTAGGCCCCCAAACAGTTTTCCAACACTCACATGAAATATAAAATGATATACTATGGGTTAGTCATATCGCCAATGACCATGTAAACTGTTTCATCAACCGTATGTTTCATCGCCGAGTTCATTATGACTGTGTTATTATTTTGATATATTAACTGTCTTATATTTGAATCGTCTTTATGTATTTTAGTACGGATAACCGTTTATTATTACTTAGAAACTCATTCTATATGTACTGTGTAGTGTAGCCAAGTAATTACTCTCATGAAGCTGGTCTCCATTGTGATATCTTACTCTACTATTCCGTCACTACATGTCGCGTTCAACCTCGTCACCTTAAACATTGGCATATAAATGCAAATCGGACAACAAACAGGTGTAACGAAAACCGTGGGAAATCTGTCGGTTGGTGCATAGTGCATCTCAAAGAAACATAAACAAGATCCTAGTGGAGCATTTGGAATAACTTCTACATTTATCAGTTCAAATGATACGTTTCATCCGACAACTATGGGGCACTGGGATCTCGTTCAGCTGGTGTCCGTGTCACGATAAGCTACAGACGCGAAGCCGCGTTACTTGACTGGATGTCCATTAACTGTCGTTTGTACGTATTTAAACTGACTACGAATTAACAGGTGGCAGGCCATGTACGATTCAAGATGTCTTCTACTATCACATGTCAATAGCCTTTTGGAAACTGTTGTAAATTCTAAGAACCTAGATGAATAAGCTGGGTATCTAGGCTCACAGAAGAGTAGATGAGGTAGTCGACGGGGATCAGATAGTCGCATGTCAGAACTGTCTTCTTCAGCTTTGAGCAGATCACGTTCTGTTTCTAAACGTTACCAACTTACTGCACAGCCGTATCTGTATAACCGCTTAGCTCCTCGTTCCACCACTAGTGACTGTATTAACATAGAATTTATTACTACCAACTACTGATGCAGTTAGTGCATAAGAAAATACTACCCGTTCTGGAGAACTGGTCTGAATTCTGATATTACGTAGTTGTGTGTCTGTGTTCAATTTACATTGCACTCAATAACGAAGCGACGAAGAGTGTTACGAAAAACTAAAGACATTTCTACGACACACTGGAAACTCGAACAGAACGGGCTGCAGGGAGAAGAGACCTCAGAACATTATATCAGATAACCAGGTCTCCATTCCGAATGAAATCAACACAGATGAAATCTATAAATCTATGTAGTCCAAAGGAACTAATTTTTAGAGATGAGGCAAAGCAAACATTGAGCTGATCGCCTCAAAGGACTCGTGAGTCAGCTATCGCCTGTCACGCTTACAGAAGTATCACCAACAGATCGCACAGAACTGACTGTCAGTGGACACGAATCCCGTGAAGTCTTGGATGGAGTCAAGGTATTAAGGGCCGGGAAGGCAGCAGGACTGGATGAAACTCCTCCGGAAGCACTGGAAATGGATACAGAGGCTGCAGCGGGCACTCTGACACCGCTTTTGCCGAAAATGTGATGAAGAGGAAAGGTACCCGTAGATTAGAAGAATGGTCAAGTTGTCATACTACCAAAGGATGATGACAGTGGTCTATGCAAGAACCGGTGCAGAATCATGTTCTCGTCTACACCAAGCGAAATATTGAGTCGAGTCATTCTGGGGAGAATAGAAGATATATCGGATGCAGAACTCCACCAGCACGGAACAAGCTGAATTCAGGGAAGGCAAATCATGTGCTGATCAAATTGCAACCCTACGCATCGTCATCACAGAACAAAGCATAGAATAGTATTCAAACTCCTACCTTGACTTCATCGACTTCGGAAAGGCCTTCGACAGCGTTGGTCGCTAAGTAATTTGGAGACTGCTTCAACACTATGGTGTGCAGTGTCCAAATCTCCATCAACCTCATTCAACAGCTACATGACAATGCCACGTGTCAGGTGGTCCACAAGGGGAGACTTAGCGAAGCCTTTGAAGAGTAAGACAGGACTGCCAACTGTCAGGAATGCTATTCGTGATTGTGGTTGGTTGGATTATGCGGCAGACCGTGTGTGGGTGGCGAGAAGACAGTAATACGTCGGGTGATAAGAAGACTCTATAAGATCTGTATTTCTCAGATGACTTTCAGGCGAAAGCCTACAAACTGACTGAAGAAGCAGCGAAGATGAGATTCCAGAAGAACACAGAGAAGACGAAGGTGATGGAAATAACCAACCAACAGAAACAACCACCAGCACCAGTCATCATCATCATCATCAGGAGAGATTCGACAGAAGTAGAAGTTACTTCATTCACTTATCTAGGAAGCCTCGTTTCAATCACAGTGAGTGGAGACGGATGAAGATGTCAAAGGCGATGAGGCAAGATACGACTTCATCA